TATTTGTTATAAAATTAGCATTTATTAAGTACCATTTTTACTTAATATTCACTGAAAACAAACAACTTTGATCTGTAGGTTTTATTATCCCATTTGATAGATGAGGACATTGAGGCTGAGGGAATTTTACTGACTTGCTCCAAGTCACGCCACTAAGAAACGACAGAAGCGGGAGTGAAACTGAGTTTCCTTGACTGAAGATCCAGGACCCCGTTCTGTGCCACTGCAGCTGCTTGGCTTTTGGCAGCATTTGAGGCCCCACCAGCATCCATTCCTTTCAAGTAGGTGCTGGCACTGGGAGCTGGCAGGGCCACCTGTCTGCAGGGACCGCGCTGAGCTCTTGGTGCCCAAGGCCCTCAGCTGCCAGTCGCCGGAACATACTCATGTAATCTTAATGAACAATGTGCAAAGCATTAAAAACTCAATTAGGACTTTCTTTTTACTGCCGTTGTGAGGAAATGCGATCCTGAGGTGCTCATGTGTAAACACAATAGCGGCCATCTGCTATGGAGAAGTGTTTCGCCTCCAAAAAGGGGATCTGTGTTGCAGACACATCAATAACGAGGCGCTTATCAAGGCATTATTATGCACGAAGGGGAAAAATGCAAAATTTATGGCCAGCCAGAGAGTACTTCCTGGTTTAATTCCACAATTTTCAGGGGTATGTATAATAACTATGAAGAAACTAATGCTGTTTTATGTTACTTGTCACGTTAGTAGATTTTTTTCTTTTTTAAGGGAGAAGGGAAAAGAATGTATTTACAGTCTTTGTCTCTTGTTTCTGACTGATCTTGGCGTAATGACCGACTCATTTTTGATCTCCAGGAAACTGACAGCCCTGGGATGATATTAATTGCGCCAACCTGTTGATCAAAGAGGGTCCCACAGAGTGGATGATATGCCAGGGCTTTCACTCCTGAACAATCTCTAATGACGGGCTTGAGCTCAACTCACAGATACAGCTCCCTTCCTTTCTGGAGGGTGTGGTCAGATCTATATAAGGTGGGCTACGTGTGGAAGGGGCTAGAGTTGACCGCTGGATCCCATCCCCCTCCTTCAAGACCTTACACTAGCATTACTGGATGCTTCTGTGCCTTTCCCTGGGATATTCTCTCTTTCAAATGCCTCCCAAGTTACCGCCCAGGCTTGCTGCTCTTGATGATGTCCTTATGCAGAGCGTCTTGCAACTTTGCTTAGTAGCTATCATTTCCCATCTTATTGCCTTGAATAAATGGACTTGTAGCTGAATAATAGTTTATTCCCTTTTTTTTTTGAGACGGAGTTTCGCTCTTGTTACCCAGGCTGGAGTGCAATGGCGCGATCTTGGCTCACGGCAACCTCTGCCTCCTGGGTTCAGGCAATTCTCCTGCCTCAGCTTCCCGAGTAGCTGGGGATTACAGGCACGGGCCACCATGCCCAGCTAATTTTTTGTATTTTTAGTAGAGACGGGGTTTCACCATGTTGACCAGGATGGTCTCGATCCCTTGACCTCATGATCCACCCGCCTCGGCCTCCCAAAGTGCTGGAATTACAGGCTTGAGCCACCGCTTCCGGCCTGTTTATTCCCTTTTTACTTAAAATCCAAGATGAGTGCCCCTAATGGGTGAGTAGCCTTCCATGTGGCTTTGCTTATTCGGGAAACCTGGCTTCTTTTATGGTGGCTCTGCTTTCCCCTAGACTCTTAAGATCTGGAACATTCAGCCAGGAGATGGGAAACTAGACTGGGCCAGGGATTCTCACCCCTTAATGTGCATGTAGATCACCTGGAGTTCTTGAAAAAATGCAGATCCAGGCTCAGTAGACCTGCAGGCAGATGTGAGATTCTTGTTTCTCACAAGCCCCCAGGTGACGCTGGGGTGGCTGGTCCAAAGACCAGTCTTTGAGAGGCAAGATCATTTAGTATGGAGGTGGGTGGTAGGAGGGAGGCAGCTTTTACTATCCAGGCCTGGAAAGTGGCACATATCATACTCCTGCCTTGTTATCTAGAACTCAGTTGAATGTGCCCACCAAATGCTAAAGGGAGGCTGGAAGACGAAGCCTAGCTATGTGTCCAGAACAACGTTATAGGGTTGTGCGTGAAGCTACGTGGAACAGGGAAATCTCTACCTCCTCAGCGAGCCTGCCCTGCTACTGAAGCTAGGATGGAAGGAAGTGGGAAAATGAGCTGCTGGAAGGAAAACCTTCTCTCAACTCTCTCTGCTGTGGATTATAAGAAGCCAAGGTGCCTGTGGTGTGAATTGGCAGGAGGACAGGAGCTGAAATGTGCATGCACGTATCATGGGATTCAGAAAGGAGAGAGAGTGAAACACTTTGCTTCTCAGGCTGCTCCTCCTGCTGGGAGATGCGCTACTCCTCTGTGGCAGGGGCAGCCACAAACCCTTTGTGGGGCTTCAGAGTTGCTACTTACCTGTCCATGGAAACCTTTTGGAACCCAGTGGCATGTAGGCCAATGGACGGATATGGGCATGGATGCAGGCTCTGTCTCATCTCTAAGCTGCAATTTCTGCTCCCATAATCACTCCTTTTTTGCTGCCTCATTGTGGGTTATGATAATTCGTAAATTCTCTGACATGGAGACATCTCTCCACTTACCTTGTGTTACTGCAAGGCCCTAAACTAGGAAACTTTACTCACTTAGAAACACTGGCAAAGACACCTGCACCTTTGTTCCACTTCTGGTGGCTCCTACCCCAAGCGGTGCTACATTTTCTGAAATCAAGACTTTTGCAGCAATATGGATGGAACTAGAGACAGTAATCTTAAGTGAAGGAATGCCAAAACAGAAAATCAATACTGCATATTCTCACTTCTAAGTGGTGGCTAAATAATGTGTACACACGGATGCAGAGCATGAAATGATATACATTGAAGGCTTGGAAGGGTTGGAGTGGGTGAGGGATGAGAAATTACTTAATGGATACAATATATGTTATTTGGTTGATAACCACACTAAAAGCCCAGACTTGACTTGTACTCCTTACATTTACACAGACATTTTTCTCATTGGTAGGATGGCAAAACATGATAGCAACCGATTCAGGCTTCTCTGTGCTTTTCACCTGGCTACTTTTTTTTTTTTTATTTTTGAGACGGAGTTTCGCTCCTGTTACCCAGGCTGGAGTGCAATGGTGCGATCTCAGCTCACTGCAACCTCCACCTCCTGGGTTCAGGCAATTCTCCTTCCTCAGCCTCCTGAGTAGCCGGGATTACAGGCACGCACCACCGTGCCCAGCTAATTTTTTGTATTTGTAGTAGAGACGGGGTTTCACCATGTTGACCAGGATGGTCTCGATCTCTTGACCTTGTGATCCACCCGCCTTGGCCTCCCAAAGTGCTGTGATTACAGGCTTGAGCCACTGCGCCTGGCCTCACCTGGCTACTTTTTGGTTTAAGCCCACCCAAGTATCCTAAGTGATCATCTCAGTAAGACAGCTCAGGCCTGGGGATCTGGGCAGGGTTGGAGGCTGGGTACTCCTGCTCTGCATGGTGGTTCAGGGGTAGCATGCAGAAAGTCTAATTTGGTCTTATGTCCAAGTTACTTTGTGAATAGTAATGTGGAGGTTTTGGCCTCTCTGTCTGTCTCTCCCTCTCTCTTGCGTCTGTTTTTAAATTCACTCAGAACCTGGAGGAGACAGGGTTTGATTGGTACCTTTTAGAACCCCAAGAAGATATGGCTTTCCCAGCATTTATTAGCTGGAAGTGGTCAGTCTTTTTGGCATTAGGGTGAATGAATGAGGTGACTTTTAGCTATTGAAGCAGCTCACCTTGGCTGAGGATAAGTGGTCTTAATGTTTCTTTCTGAATTGAATATTTTAAGTGATTTTCTAGGTGGAAACATGCATTCCAGAATCACGTGAGTTTATCTGCTGTGTTTCATGATGCAATTTATTTCATAGAATCACAGGACTCTAAGTCACAGAGTCAGCCCTCCCAGCTGCTTGTGAAATTTCCTTAACCCTCTCTTTCATTTGTCCAGGCTCTGTTTTGCCACCTGCATGGATGGGGACTCACTTTGTCTCTGGCCAGTCAATTCTGTTTTGCACCAACTTCACTTGTCAGAAAGTTCTTTGGACACTGAACTGAAACATACCTCCTCATGGTTTCTTTCATGAGTTTGCCCTCTCAGGCAGCTTTTCAATAAGCTATTGTCACAGTAAAGCAGCAAAACACACTGAGAAGAAACTCAGTGGAAAACAACAATAAGGATTTATTCTTGCTCCCGTGGGACTGTGCACTGATTATAGATTGGCTGATCTAGGTTGGGCTTTTGGGCCATGTGGCTGTAATTCCAGCTGCAGAGGGTGGACATGACTTGGTTCTTTACTATCAGTTCAAGTCAGATATCCTCTGTGTGTGTATTCTTGATCCCAAGCTGAAAGGGGCAGCCGCTACTGGGGGCACATTCTTCTCATGAAAGGAAGCCATAGTGGAAGATGGCAAGCCCAGCAAGGCAAGCACATTTTAACCTTTGCTTGAATCATTCTGTTAGCTTCCTGTTGACCAAAGCAAGTCATATGGTAAAGCCCAAAGTCAGGGATGGGAACAAACCCTCTGCTTCTGCTGGAAGGAGCTGCAAAGCCAATGGCAAGGGACATGGATCCAGGGAGGGGTAAAGAATTGGAGACAACCATTTAATTTGTCAAAGGAACTCAAAAGTGGCTCACTTCATTTCTATAACGCGACCATTTGAAAGCTGGGAAATAGTAGCTATGTTTTCTGCTAATAGTAATAGTAGCACCTTGTAGAAATACTTCATACATGTTACCATCTCTTAATTCTTAAAACCACCTTGTTGAATAGATTTTTTATTCCCAACTACAGAAGAGGTACTCAGGCTCAGAGAGGAGATGTGGCTTTTGCAGGGTCACCCAGACCCTCCTAGAGTGACTTGACCACTGGCCTCTCTTCTGGCCACCGTGTTTATGAGTGTGACTGATTTTCAGAAGGATTTTCTTACTCTCTCTTTGTCTCTATTTCCCACCTGTATTGTTGGTCTCCAGGTTCTTTCATGATGGTGAACAGCTCTGGGAGAGCCTCTGGCCAGAAGGCCCACCTGCTCCTGCCAACCCTGAAGGAGAACGACACCCACTGCATTGACTTCCATTACTACTTCTCCAGCCGTGACAGATCCAGCCCAGGGGCCTTAAACGTCTATGTGAAGGTGAATGGTGGCCCCCAAGGGAACCCTGTCTGGAATGTGTCCGGGGTCGTCACTGAGGGCTGGGTGAAGGCAGAGCTTGCCATCAGCACTTTCTGGCCACATTTCTATCAGGTATGGCATTTTACCATGGTTTTATTTTTGAAAGTTAGTAATAAACCTATACACCACTGCTCTTCCTACAGGTGCTAGGTCTAGAAAGGACTTCATGTATTCACTTGTGTTTACTGGACTTCTCCTCGTAGCCAAGCTCTGCAGAGGTGACCTGACACAGTCCCTGCCTCCCTTGAGTTTATCATCTGTAAGAAAAGACTGATGTATAAATAAAATGACAGTATAGCAGGATGCCTGTGGCTCCTGAAGATGATGGAGGAACACAGCATTGATTCCACTTTATAAAGTCAGTGCTTAAGACAACATGATGAGGGAGGTTCTAGTACTATCCTGTTTTATGGATGAAAAGGATGAGGTTCAGAGAGATGAGATCACTAGTCAAAGATCACCCTCTGCGGAATGGTGTGTTTGCTGGGGAAGGCAATTAGGATGGTTTGTAAGAGGAGATGACCGCTAAGATGAATCTTGAAGAATGAATAGAAATGTATTTTAAAAGGGAGAGAGGGAAGGGCATTCGAGTTGTCAAGAACAGTGTCTACTACAAGCTAGAGGAGTGGGTGATAGACGACAGCAGAGTTTGGAAAGTCTAGGTTGTTTAAGGTACGTTGCAAAGGGGACAGACGGAGATCAGCCTGCAGGGACACGTAGATCATGGGGGGCTCTGAATGCCAGGCTAACGAATGGAACTTAGTGTAAAGCAGTGCTGTCCAGACTGTGGTGAAGGGACACTTTTCCTCCCAGCTCATTGTGAAGGAATACTCTTATAAACCACCGTAAAAAAAAGTCATGGTAATGCCAAATTGCCGTAACAGTTTCCAAACCTCTCTCCCCTTCCTTTCTTGTCTCCTTGTGACCTGATATACGCAGTGTACAGATTGGTACCAAATCCATAAAGCATCCTTTAGAGGAACACTTCTCCACATTGTCTTGGCCTGGAGCTATTTAAAACTTTAGTTTTTAAACAATGTTATTAAGGTAAAATGTACATATCACAGAATCTACCTATTTTAAGTGTGCAATCCCACGACTTTAGAAAACCTATTGAATTGTGCAACCATCATCATAAACTAGTCCAGAACGTGTTCATCCTCCCCTTAAGGTACCTTGTGCTCATTTGCAGTTAATCCCCACTTGCACTGTTGAAAGATTTTAGGTTAGAGAGTGTTGCAGTCAGATCTGTATTTTGGAGAAATTACTCTGGCATCTGAAGCAGATGGACATGAAGGTGGCAAGATCAGTGGCTGGGGGCTTCTTAGACATCTTCCAGTTTAATATCCATGGTACAGTTCTTCCAGATTCTAGAGTTAGGAATACATTTATGTATTGAGATCACTTGTTGGGTTGACCTTAATGAGACAATTCAAGCTTTATTTCCTTTTTGCCTTGGTAACAAGAAATCAGAATTTAATACTCAATTACCCTCAGTATTTAGCCTGGATTTTTGCCATAAATATTTCCATTTATCCTCAATGGCTTATGATTTCTTTTTAGAATAATTTTACTTTTCCTCATGTTACATTTCCTGAAATTCCTTTCAGAAATAGGGGATAGGTAATGGTGATGATGGTAATGGTGGTGATGGTGTTACCTAATGTTCGTTGGGTGTTTATCTTGTTCCAGGCACAGTACAAATATTTCACACACCTTACCTTGTTTAATCTTCAGAATAATCCTTTGAGGCAGGTATTTTATAGTATGAAACAAAGGCTCAGAAATGATAAGTGATAACCCAAGCTGGAATGGAGGTAGGGTCTTGGTTTTTACCCATTCTATTTGATTTGACTCTCTAAGCTATATAATCCAATATAAACATAATGGAAACCACACATGTCATTTATAAATATTTATTAGCCAAAAAGTAAAGGATGAAATTAATTTTGAGAATATATTTTACTTAACCTAGTGTATACAAAATACTATCACTTCAACATGTAATCAGTCTGAACAATTATTAGTGAGATATTTTCTGTTGTTCTCTCCCTATCAGTCTTTACAATCCAGTCTATATTTAAAATTATTATTTTCATTAATAATACTGATCTGTATTTAGATTCATAAAATATATAGCTGAAGAAATGGATTCATATATACAGGTTGTTCCAAACATTCTTTTTTTTTTTTTTTTTTTTTTAATTTTTTATTGGATTTTAGGTTTTGGGGTACATGAGCAGAGCATGCAAGACAGTTGCGTAGGTACACACATGGCAGTGTGCTTTGCTTTTCTTCTCCCCTTCACCCACATTTGGCATTTCTCCCCAGGCTATCCCTCCCCACCTCCCCCTCCCACTGGCCCTCCCCTTTTCCCCCCAATAGACCCCAGTGTTTAGTACTCCCCTCTCTGTGTCCATGTGTTCTCATTTTTCATCACCCACCTATGAGTGAGAATATGCGGTGTTTCATTTTCTGTTCTTGTGTCAGTGTTCCAAACATTCTTAAGTGAATGGGGTATCAGTTTTTAAACTAAAATTTAAGGTAACTGAACTTAAGTGAAATGAGAAATTCAGTTTCACAGTCTCATTAGCCACACTTCAATAGCCAGTGGTTGTCAAATTAGTACAGATCAGAGTTCTTAACCACTTGGCTCCACAATTTCCCCTAGTAGAGTTCTTGAAAGGCTTGGCCCTGCCTGGAGCATGTGGGTGGGGAGATAAAGGGGGTGACTCCAAGGATGGGCTCTCAGAAGGGACCTCACCTATGAGGTACTAGTTCTGCTAATTCTCGTCATCCATTGTGGAGAATTCTGCAGCTGTCTCTTTAGTGCCTTGGTCTGTGTTGAGAGTTTTATTAAGGTTTATATTTTGGGATTGTCAGGAGACTTAAATGAGTAGACAATAAGACAAGATATTTGTGGCAGGGACTGTCGAACAGCACAGGTTACTCCCACAACCCTGGCAATATGCAAGCAGCCTTGGAGATGGATCTAAATAGCCCTGTTTGTGACCACGTTTCCTTTGCTTCTCCCCCAACCTCATCTTCTCTGCCTGTCCATGGGTGGCCAAGAGCCAGAGGCAGGAAGTAAGGAAAGTCAGGAAGAGAACAGAAATAAAAGAGGAAGTGAGAAGGAGAAGAAAAGAGGAAAAGAGAAAGTGAATTCTTGGAAGGACTCATTGCACCATCATTCTGCCACTTGCTCCCTATACTCATCCACTTGTCAGCCATTTTGCATCTGTGTGAGCCAGGCCAGTTCAGGCACTGGTAATGCAGAGGTGAATGGGATAGAGCTGGCCTTGGAGTGGTCGGGGGGAACTGTGGTCATTTGGTGTGAGGTTAAGACCCTACACCATTCTTTAGAAGAGCAGGAACTTATCACTGAAAGTGGCTAAAAGGACAATAGCCACTTTGTTTTTAATGTGTGTGTCAGTAACAATGGGATGTGTTTTATTTTAGATGTTTTGAGAAAAATTATGTAACTTTGGCCTCATTATTTCTGTCTTTTCCTTTTGTGTAGTATGTTTTAATACAAACCTTTATCTGAAACTGATGGTGTCAGATATGTGTCAGAATTCAGAATGTTGCAATTTAACTAGTAATATATTTGCATATCTTGTGTATTTCATAACAACCCTGGTAGGGTCTGAGGCAGTACCCTACAATCAAATCGAATATTTCTACAGCAAAATTTATAGATACTCACAAGAAATGGGATAAATAAAGATAGTAAGCTGTATCAGACCAATTTGGCTGAGTGCAGGTTTTACCACCAAATTACTTTGTATAATCCTAAACTGAAGAACCTTGTTTTCAGAGTTTTTGGGCTTTCAGAATGGCATTAAGCATATGACCCTATATTCTCTACCTGCACAGTTGCGTGAACAAGGGGAAAACATCTTGCTTGTACATTCTGGGAAGAATACCCAGTGCATGACCTGTAGAGTGTGCTCAGTGGAACGTTTGTTCCCCGAGATTCTCTGAGGTGAAGGCTGATATGGTAGAGGCATTTTGAAAGAGCTGTATGATGTATTTGGTTCTAGGAGACTCACAGTTACTCATGGGAATTCTGAGGAGTCAGAAGGAAATCTGTTTATTGTTGTTTAATTTACTGTCTTTATTCTAAGTTTGAGCTTGACCCTCTTTTTGTCACATGACCACTTGACTGGAGAGATAGTATTCTGCAGACAGGTGTCCCTACATCTCAGTGTGCTGGGACAACCCTGTTTACTCCTATTATCTTGGTGAAATTAAGAGCATCCATTTCATAGTTTGCCCCAGTTTCAATGATAAATTATATACTCTTCCTATCCATAGACATTTACAGACTGCATACTGGCACACGTGGCTTAGGTTTATCCTCATTTTGTAGATAAGGCAAACATTTTCTGGTAAGGACTAAAAAGAAAATATTTTAGTTTTTGCAAGCCATACAGTTTCTTTTGCAATTACTCAATTCTGCCATTGTACCGTGAAAGCAATCATAGATAATATGTAAATGAATGGACCCAGCTGTGTTCCAATAAAACTTTATGTGCAAAAACAGGTGGTGGGCTGGATTTGGATTCCAGGCCATAGCTAAACCCTGATGTGTATTATAAAGCTGATGTCCAGAGTTGCATAGTGAAGTCCAAGACCTCATAGCATATTACTGGCTAAGCTCGGGGCAGATCCCAGATACCCTACTCCCTAGACTGTCACCACCATTGAGTATAGACTTCAAGTGTCTCTAAAAGCTCATGGGCACAGTCAGTGAAGCTTTAAGATTTCAACTGGAAACCCCCTATCTAGGGCCAGATGCAAATGGGTACAGGATGGGGCCACAGGTTAAAGTACAATAAACACGAAAATTGACCCAGTACAGGGACAGTCACACTACTTGCCATGCTCTTTGATGAGGCAATGGGGGAAAAAGGTCATCTCTGGAGTGCCCACTATGTTCACACCCTAAGAGAGGCATGAGATCTGTGTAGTAGCTCTCTCTATTAGGTAGCAAATATGTCCCATCTTCCAGTGTAGGAAGCACTACTGGCACATTCAAGTCCCCATGTTTCTTCCTAGGTCCTCTGGCT